TGAGCGGCAGAGAAAAAAAATGGAATCAGGGTGAAAAACCTGATTTTGCTCACACTACTAAAAATGTGAGGATACTTTTTAATGTGTCACACCCCAACTAGTGCTGCCATTGCGGTTGGACCTGACCTTCCAGTGGTTTTGTTGGGCCTTTTTGCTTTGCTTTTTATTTCCCCTTTTAATCTCATTTTGAAATCCAGAAACCTACAGCAAGTTTAACATGATTTCTGGTATGTGCCACTTGGAAGAAATTGAACCGTGTGATGATTTATTGTTTGTGAGCAGCTGCTCTTTAAATTTCCAAGGAGAGGGAAATCAGCCTTAGTACTAAACTAAATAAATAATGTTTGCTTTTATGTCTGCAATTTTTCACCAGAATAGCTGGGCCCACAAAAGGTGTCTCGTTCTTATCGCCCAAAATCAAATGCGGGAGAGCTAATTGCATTGGTGCAGGCGCCTGGATGCAAGAGCAGATGTTTATTTCTAACCTGGATTTCTGATTTGTGTTATTAGAGTCCGAATTTATATGCAATGTAGTTAAGCCTGGGCTATTCTGAGAGAGTTGCAGGGTTCATCTAGTGTTGAGGCTGCTCGGCTCAGAACAATTTGACTTTATTTCCCAGAGCAGACCAGGGGTTTCCTCCCGTTTGGAGGCTGCTGGGTGCTGTCAGGTCCCACCGCTTTTAAAGGCACCAGAGTTATTTCTGGTGCAATTAAATGTGACTTTCCCACGGCTTTTCCATGAGGATTTCCTCTTCATGGTGACCAGGAAAAATTAGGAGAGACAGTGGATATTTGGATATCAGGGAGAATTTGTTGGGCTAACAATTAGGGAAAAAATAGGGATGCCAATTTAACACAGGGCACGGCTGCACTTCAGTCCAGCGGGCAGCTGGTTTCTTGGGTACCCTGGGCCGCCGGTGCTGACGGAGCCTCTGCCTGCGGCGGCCGCGTCGCGGTTGTTGATTTGTGTCCCTTAACGCCAGCAGCGAGGGCTGAGAAAGGGGAGAAAGCTGAAGTCCCACCCTGTGACAGAAGTTTGCCTCCGGCATCCATTTCAAGAAAACACTTTACAAAATGGGATTTCGGTGCCTAAATTGCTTAGTTGGTTTTTTTTTTTTCTCCCGAAGATCTTTATCGTATGTGTGATTTTTCTCAGTAGAAAGCAATAGAGACTCCTAATGGCAACGTTCGTGTTCTGTCCAGTGAGGCAGGCTCTTAAAAGCACCTGCACTAGCAGCATAAGAGACTGCATTTTTCTATATTGCTGCTACAAAGTGTGTCCAAGCAAGTGGATGCAGTTGCCATTTTTCATCTCCAAGCGCATGCAGCACGTGTTTTGCGGTAGTTTCTTGCAGAACTGGATCAATTAAAAGCGTAATATTGGGATGGGAGATCCCCTTTAATGTGTACTATGTACGCTTCGTCACGCTTCCAACTTTTGCTGTCACTGATCTTTACTGCTTATGAGTACGATATGTCATTAAGCATGAATATATACAAATAAGCATTTCTGTTAGTAATAACATTAATAAAGCTCAGTAAGCACCGAGCACCACGTCACAGAGGCTCGTTGGGTTGAGCAGCAGCGGGCACCATGTACATACGGAACTGCACGCTCCCATTCCCCCACACAAGCGACTCACCTGGCCCTGAATTTTCTCCTTACCTTATCTTCTCTTTCTCTTTTCAGGGCCCACTTGGTCTTCAAGGCCCGACGGGAGCCCCCGGTGTCAGAGGTTTCCAGGTCGGTATGCCGACAAGGGTGATTTAACGCATCGCGTTTTGGCAGGCCACTTTCCTGCAAACCTCCGGCAAGACAAGCGCGCGATGACAACAAGCGATAGGAAGAAACGTCTTTCCACTTGCCAGAAACCAGTTTGACACCTTTATTAACGATTTCTAGTTGGTATTTGCTTGCAAAAGAAGGGTTTGAGTTTGACCTACGCAAAGACACCCTCATTTCTCCTTGCCCTAGACGCCCCCAGCCTGTATGTCTTCAGTGAACTCCTTTTCCCTTCTGCTGCGCTGGGGAGGCTCCTATTTCTTGCTCCCCTCTCCAAGGGAGCGTTCACAACCACTCCCCAGTGAAATGGGCTGAAAACCAGCGTGGGTGCTACCTTCTGGGACCACCACTCGGTTGGGAGTCACAAATGTGATTTTATTATCGAACGACCTGGGCCAGCCAAAGGCTGGAGCCCTTTGGGCAGCGTGGCTGACCTTCGGAGTGAAACGTGGCGGGGCAGAAGTTGGAAGGGGCTGTGCCGACCAGCGCGAGTGGTACCAGCAGTCAGCACGTGATCCCTAGGGCCTGGGGGAAAAAAGAGAGGCGACCTAAGACAAATGGCTTTTTGGAATACGTCATGGAGGCTGGCGAACCCTGGGGCTGTGAAGGTACGCAGGGCTTCTTGACTCTCTAAGCCACATCTTTTTCTTTTTGGTTTTCCTAACAGGGTCCCAAAGGTGCCAGTGGGGAGCCTGGCCTTCCTGGCCCAACTGGAATTCGTGGAGAGTTAGGTGACAGGGTAAGGAGACAAATATTGGTCTGCAACTAATTCCTGCTTGGGAGATGTGAAATCAGAGCATAACAGGGCCCCCAAACGCAGCGTAGCTGATGCCACCCCAGCAAACGCGCGACGGCAGAAGGTGGGGACGTGGGGGTTCCAGTCCATCCTTGGCGACCGCCGCCTGCCCAAGGTGGCCCCTGCAGCAGGGAGCAGGACCCCCCCCATCCCCCCCTCCTGTTTCCGGCCTCATTTCTGCCTCAGTTCAGAAACTCACACTATTTTTAGGTAGGATGGATGCCCAAAAGGGACTCTGGGAACCTATCCTGGCCAGAACAGACAATTGCTTGGGTTTCTTTCCCTGCTCCGTATGCTGAAGTCACCAAAGCCTTGCTCCCCACGAGCCCAGCAGAGCCGGTTCACACACTGCTGTTATTCAGGTGCGGGGTTAGGGTTTCTGGATTTTTTTAAATTACAGTTTGCTCAGTGGTTTTCTTTCTGAATGGCAACACACCTGGGCCCCGCAGCTCAGAATAAATGCAGCTTTTTATTTAAATGAATTCATTCTCATTTAAAAGAAGCCAGCGGGGTAAAGCGAATGACATTTGTTCGGGGCTTGCAGGAGAACAGGAGCTGTGTGTTCGCCCGCACCCCTCAACTCCGGCTTTAAGGTGAAGTTTCTGTGTAAGCCATCGCAGCGGCACCGCGGGGGTTTCACAATGGCCCTTCTGTGCCGGCTCCAGGCAGGTTTAAAAAAGCCTCTTGGAGGGCCTGAGTGCCTGGAAGCGTGAAACAGGAGGGTTATTGTGGAGCTGCGGGGTCCTGGCTGCATTCTGGGCTTCTCCGCGGTGAAAAAATGTACGTTCAGAGGGGAAGAGGCCCCTGCACAGAGCAGCCTGGTATCCAGAGGGCTGCTGCCAGCAGAGGCGGGGGGAAATTTTATACCTAAAGCAAAAAAAACCCAAGCAAACAAAATTCTAGGTTTTATTTCTGGCTCTGAAGTTGAGCATAGTTACTCTAAGATGCATTTGTCCGTTGTTTCTTAACGCCCCGGCTCGTTAAGGGCTTTCCCCGGGAAAGTGTGCCCGTGCAGGTCTGGGTAACGCTGGAGACTTTCCACCTCCACGTACGCAACCGGTACGTGGAGTAAGTTCCATCTGCCCGCCCAGTCCCACCAGTACCGGTGGCAGCCACGTGCGCCCAGTGCCCTCCCACGTGCTGCAAATTTCCACCCTTAATTACTGGGTGCAAGACTTGGGCTGGGAAGACCGTAAAACCTCAGACCGTGTCTTTGTAGCTCGAACAGCCTTTGCTGCCGGGGGCTGGGGGGACACAAAGAGCAGAGCAGGCGCTGCCCTGGGTTGGCTTCACGGACACCCCAGCCTGCTGGTCCTGGCACGTATAAAGCGGAGAACTGCAAATACGGGATCAATACAATTCCATCATCCCAGCTGCAGCGAACCCGTCGCGCTCTCCTGAAATCAATTGTGGCTTTTTTTTGTTTTGTTTTCTTTAAAAGAAAAAAAACCAACCCTATTCCTGCAAGCCTGAGTTAACACAGGTACTGATAGACTTTGTCCCAGTCCCTGGACTGGCTGTGGCCAGGAAGATAAAGCAGCGTGTCAGTAAGTGTATTTTCTTGCATGAAAAATGCAAGAGGTTTAATGCGTTTGACCGTAAGATATAAAATAGCATTGAGACGATAAATAAACCATCTTGTCAGAGCGGGATGTTGGGGAGAGGAAGGATTTGGCTGTTATTACTGACTGTGGTAGGAATAGGTAAATATTTTTCCAAAGTATTTTTGTGAAGATCAAATCCCTGGGGTGCTGAATGCCGGCAGCCATCTAGGGCAACATCTCCCTCGGCTCCACGCTGGCATCGCTAGAGGCTTGGCAAAAAATGTTGTGTTTAGCTGATAGAGTGGCACAACCGTGAGGAAGGCTGGTGGCCCTGAAGTCCTGTCACTTGTTCCTGCTGCTAGGAATTACTGTTGCTGTGAATTACACAGGTTTGAATCAAAATCTTTTGGGCTAAGCTTTTCTTGAGGGGACTGGTCCTGGCAGGACACAGTCTTTGGTGACTAAGCTGTGTTTTATTGCCGTAAACTTTCATGGAGCTTTGGGACTCTGTGAAGCTGGAGGTATAAATCTAGATGCCGGTGTTCAGCAAAGAATATATCATCTTTGCCATGGGCAAACATAAAACGGGACTTAGAAATAGCTGTGGCCGTTCTTGCGTTTCCACATTCCATGGTCTGGTTTGCCGAGAATTATTTTTTCTTTAATAGAAATCCCCCTCCCGTATTTTAACGTATTCAGTGCTTGACTTGAACAAAAGCGCCATGCCCTTATTACATGTGTTTGTGCTCTTCTAAGATTCTGTTCTGCTGAGCCATCTCTGGATCTAGTTATTAAAAAAAGATCAGTCTGCAGATGCCAGATTGATGAATGTGCTGTAGAAATCCTGTTTGAAGGGTAAAACGCTCGGATTTCCCATGTAGATTTTACAGTAGGGGGGAAAAAAAATCTGGGCTTCTCCTGAATTCCATGCTGGCTCTGCTATATGGCCCCGAAGTCACAGATCAGGCTGAAAATGTCTCCTGTCCTCTCTATGAATGCCAGGTAAAAGATTTTTCAAGTTGCCTGTATTATCCCTAGGGTGATCATCAGTTCATCATCTAAATGTATTTTATTCCCGTGGCCGTCTTGTTCTGCAAATCTCAAAGTCAGGAGCACCTGACTCTAAATCCCCGGGAAAACTGAGTCCAATGAAGCCTTGAAAAACCATCCTGACTTTTTGCCCTGGCGGTACAAAAATGTTCTTGTCCATTTTTATGCCATGAGTAAATTCAGTCTCCTCCTCACATCTTCAGGTGTGAAAGGCAGAGATCAGTCGCCCACCAGACTCAGCCTGGACCTCGTCCTTTAACTTGTGAATTTGTAAAATTGCTGTTTCAGTCACGATAGCGAGATGACAATAAGGAAAAGCAGGGGGGCAGAAGCAAAACAGAGTTCCTGCCCCTGGGATGGATGTGAAAGATGACTTTAGTGAGACGGGTTTTAAAGAGTAGGATGAAAAGCACAGGATTCATTTTAGTTTTATGTAGGAGATTGAGGAAGGTGGTATGAAAAAGGCCAGCGTAGATAACTCATGTCGGGTGGGTGGGGAGCAGTGCATTGCCCAACCATGTCAAGAAAGTCCCTCTGGTCTGTTTGGGTGAGGCTTGGTGGGCAGAAGACCACCAGCCCTGAGCTGGGGGGTCCGGCGTGGTCCGGCAGCCGCTCCGGGCTGTAGGCAAGAGGCCTGAGGAACTCCTACAGCACAAACCGGTGACTGTGGAGAATGCTACCAAGCTAGCAGGGATGCTTAAAATCTCTTCTTGTTCCCGAGACGTATGAATGAGGTTTGGTCCCTCCTACCTGGCAGCTGGAGACTTAATTCCCAACCCCTTGCTGCCTGAGAGACTGTCTGACCGCACCAGGAATTGGCAGCAAAATAACAGTTTGAGCTCACTTGCCTTCTTTCTTTTACTTACTCCCAGGGTCCTGCTGGTGTTCCTGGCCCCAAAGGTAACCAGGTAAGTGAAGCTGGGGTAACTCCTGGGATAACTTTCATGCTGTAGTCAGCAAAGGCGTTTTAACCGTACCTTAGGCGCAGCCTTTGACAGCACAGCCTGCTTTTCCTTCTTTCAAACGAAAATAATCTGCAGCAGGCATCACCAAACCCCTCTTTGACAAAAACTAGCGCTTTTCCAGCAAGCGTTGCTTTGCTTTGTTTACCGGTCTCAGTGTCTGTGTGGTCCCTGTTTTGTTGTCAAGGGAAAGACCAACCTAACCTGCATTTCTCTTGAATAACGTCTCTAAAGCCATGTAGTCACCATAACGATGTTCATTATCTGCTCTAATTGCCGTTTAATAAGCCAGCTCTGCTGCAGAGCGTTCGGGGCGGGAAGCCCTGCCCGTGCGGCCGCTGGCAGCGGGTTGCAGCGATTCCTGTCCCCCCCAGCGATGCCTGAATGGCACACGGAGGCGATCAGCAAATTGTCACAGCTAGTGAAAATAACGTCCCCAGAGCTTTAGCCACCCTTACATCAGGGACCCCAGAGTGGAGAGGGATGGTCCCCACCAAGTTGAGGGATCACTTCTGGGTAAGGGCGGGATGGAGCTGTTCTGCAGATGACTTTTTCCATGGAGGATGCCTAAAGGACACAGCTACACTGGAGACGGGACATTTAGCTCTCATTGCAAACACGTGCTTTCTGTGAGACCCAGAGCTCAGGGGAACCTGAGGTTTAGATGCCCTGTAAGAGAAATGCCAGTGCCAGCCTGTGGATGTCCTTCATGGCCACCCTGTCAGGGCTCTCGTCGGTACAAATTCAGCCTTTCATCCAAGTACCAGCTTGTTGCAAAGGGCACCTGGTGCTGGTGCAAGCTGCCTTGCACCACGAGTGCCGTTGTCAGCAGGGGAGCATCTACTGTAGAGTTCAGCTTTGGGAAGAGAGAACTTCCTCCTGCTGGAGCTGCTAAGTGCCCCCATCTGCCCTAAGAGCTGAGGTTATCCAAGCCTCACGGTGAGTCTTACCATCAATGATCTTTGTGCATCAATAGGTGCGGTGTTAATTCTGGTATCTCACTTTCAGGGTATTGCTGGAGCAGATGGCCTCCCAGGTGACAAAGGAGAACTGGTAGGTGTCCTTAAATTCAGTAGGATTGACTCCTCAAAGTAACAACAGATGGTTCTAGAGAACCGTGAATCAAGAACCAATATGGTCAGTCAGAATTAACCGCCCAAGAGCTCCAACCCTGCTGGCTGCCAAAAGGAGAAGGCAACCCAAGCCTTCCTGCCACCGTATTCATGGTGTGCATCAGCTCTCCTTGGGAAGCGCTGGACAGCCAGCATGGCCACTGCAGAACTGTGGCGTATCGGCGCTCGTTTGCCATTTGGCTCCTCGGAGCGGTTGACATTGCTCTGCCCCTGGGGAATTCTGTCCATCTCAAGACGTAGCCAGGTTGGCTGGACCTGTGGTCAGCATTGGTAGCCAGGATGAGTCTTGGTGCCAGAGTTCTCTCCCTGTTGTGCCAGGGCTGGATCTGGCCTCCAGCATCAGGAGGTGCCGCGCTCATATCATCGTGGCTTCCCGGAGCTTGGGAGATTTGTCTTTAGATGCGCGTGTTCTGAATGGATCATTCTTTCTTATTTCCCTTTTCTTTCTAACAGGGTCCCTTTGGTCCCCCCGGCCAAAAAGGAGAGGTATGTGTCAGACATCGCAGGCTCAGGGCCCAAAAGGTTTGGGAGTAAACACGCTTATCACATCTTCCGATGATGTATCTCCCTAAACTATGTTCTGGCATTGATTCCTAGAAATATGTTTTTGTCACGGCCATGCTGTAAAATGTAGGACAATGACAATTTTCTGTGGCATTCTAAGCATTCACATGGGTTTCATCATTTCGCTGCAGCACGGACTCTTACTATCATGACCTAGGTATGTAAAACCACCCATACGCTGTAGGAAATGTACACAGTGAGCCAGATCAGTTAGGGGAACCCAAAGAAAGACTTAACTAATCCCCATGAGAAAAGAATGGACTTATGTCTTCTGTTTTAAGTGTTTGGGTTTTTTTTTTCTTCTTCATTGCAGCCAGGAAAAAGAGGAGAACTTGGTCCAAAAGGTGTCCAAGGACCTAATGGGACAGCTGGAGTACCAGGGATCCCAGGGCATCCAGGGCCCATGGGCCATCAGGGGGAGCAAGGCGTTCCCGGTGTCACAGGAAAACCCGGCCCTCCTGTAAGTATCATCTGCTTCTGGGGGGCAGGCAAGGAGTCTCTGAAGTGAATAAGTGGATCGTGGATTTTGGATGCATATTCAAAAAATAAGGCCCTGCATTTGAGCAGGCAAAAGTAGGTAACTGTGCATGCAAGCTAACAAGAGTTTACCAGTGCAAAAAGATGAACAGTTTGCAAGCTTCAGCATTAAAGTCCCCCAGAATGCATGCCTTGGAGAATTAATCTCCTGCAATGAGACACGGACAGATTATCTGCATCCATTGGGATGGGCTGTAAGTCACTGTGCTGCTTACAGAGATGAGTTAGACATTGGTCATTTAGAAGTACAACTCCTATTCACTGTTGGAAATGCTAGACCTCTGTCTTGGTCCAGAGTTCATGTTTCATCATTCAGGAAAGGCCAAGTAAGCCCCACATTAAATATCTGGCCTAACATGAAAATTAATCGCTGCTATTAACATGACAGAGCTTCTGAACTGAAGCCGTCATCTTTTGAAGGTGGGGGGGGGGGGAAAACCCCCATTCCTCTTCATGCGGGATCCTGTGCTTCTTACTAAGCTACTGGGAATGAGTTTCACGCCCTGAAGCGTCTGCAGGGATGGGGATCGATAACGTGGTCTGTGTAAGGACAGATTCTTCTCTTAATCGCAGGGCAAAGAGGCCAGTGAGCAACATATAAGAGAACTCTGTGGGGAAATGATAAATGGTGAGTATTACTGAGAGAAAACTGACTTTAATTACCGGCTTTAGCCGTAGATGAGTACATCCTGGACGTAAGATGGCTCCTGAGATTTGTAATTTTTCTGTCTTAATAAGAAAAAACATGTTGACCTTTAATGTAAGGGAATTATTCAGGAGGTCACACCTTGTTGTCTGGGATGTCCTTCATTTTTTCTGAAATTAGCGGTTTTAAATGATTCATCATGGCAGCACCCAAAGTGTGCTGAAAGCAGCTTCGACACACGGACACGCGTGCTGGTGGCGAGGGTGTCTGCCCTGAGCTGTGTCATTCGGAACCTCCGCCCCCCTCCACGCACGCTCCCGGAGCTCCCAAAGTGTCGTTCTTCCTCTGGAGTCACCACTCTTGCATTTAGAGGTTGTGTTCGCCATTTGGGATGAAGTTAAACTCTGAAAGCTCATTTCAGAAAACTTGTTTTAATTATTTAAGTATAACTTTCTAGAATACTCGACAGCTTTTAAAGCGGTTTAGGAAATACCAGTGGCTTAAAAACCTGCAGATTTCGGACCAAAATCTCCCTCAGTGGGGACTTAAAAAAATAGAAAGGCGTAGGTGAGCTGAGAGGACAGAGGCAATGTTTGGTTGCCTGCTGCCAGCAGCAGCAAGCGCGCAGGGGTGGCGGGGGGCAGGCTCTGCCTGAGCACGTGGCTCCGCTCCAAAGCCAGGCGCTCCGTTTTCAGCTGCTCCCTCAATTGCGCTGGGTGGCAGACGACCAACGGCCAAGCAGCGAGTGAAAATGTGTTGGTTTTAATTGTCCTTTTCAGATCAAATTGCACAGTTAGCTGCTAATCTGAGAAAGCCCTTGTCTCCTGGAATGACGGGTCGTCCTGGCCCAGCTGGTCCCCCCGGTCCTCCTGGAGCCACGGGAAGCATTGGGCATCCAGGTCCTCGTGGTCCCCCTGGATACAGAGGGCCAACGGGAGAACTTGGTGATCCTGGTCCCAGAGGTAAGACTAAACCAACCGGCTTGTCTTTTATGCCCACTGAAATAAATCACAGAATCATAGAATGTTTTGGGTTGGAAGGGACCCCTAGAGGTCACCCAGTCCAACCCCCCCGCAGGAGCAGGGGTGGTCTTCTTATCGAAAGAGTGGGGTTCCAGTGAGGGTTAGGGAGTTGAACATTATATAAAAATACAAGTGCTCATGTTGAAAAATCACAGAATCATAGAATGTTTTGGGTTGGAAGGGACCCCTAGAGGTCACCCAGCCCAACCCCCCTGCAGGAGCAGGGACACCTTTAACCACATCAGGTTGCTCACAGCCCCGTCCAACCTGGCCTGGAATGTTCCCAGGGATGGGGCCTCCACCCCCTCTCCGGGCAACCTGTTCCAGTGTTTCACCACTCTCACTGTAAAGAATTTCTTCCTTATATCTAGTCTAAACCTACCCTGGTTTAGTTTAAAACCATTACCCCTTGTCCTGTCACAGCTGGCCCTACAATGGCAAACTGGTACTCATTTCAGCAGCGGAGGGGGAAAGATCAGGCCTTGGGCAGCCGAAGGCGTGCTGGAGGGCAGTTTTGCATCCTTAGGGATGCAGAGATCTGGGCAGTGTCCTGAGGATTTTGAGTTCCTCCTGGTTTTTCCCCTTCCTGTCCCTGGTTCCAGCTGCCGTACACAACTCACTCTTGAAACTGTCTGTTTATGCTTAAAGGTGACACTGGGGAAAAGGGAGATAAAGGACCTGTTGGTCAAGGCATTGACGGGCCTGACGGCGACCAAGGACTTCAAGGTAAGGCTGTGCGAATGATTCAATTAAGAGGCACGGCTCTGCGTGTTGTGGCAGTGTATTATTATCTCTCTGTCCCTGTAATCATTACGGTAGGGCTGTGTTCCTGTGGGTACAGCAGGTACGGACAATTTGAACAGTAGAACTTAATTAGCACATCCCCTCTTCACACCACTCCTCTCAAGTCCGAAATATTTTCCAGCCTGGTTTTGAGCCGGGGCTGCGGCTCTTCCTTTGTTCTCGGTTTCTTCCACTAATGGCTGTGAAAGGGCAGGAGCTTTTATAGATTGGAGACTCAGAACCCTTCCTAACTTACTCCCACGTGGGCGCCGGTGTCAGGAGGTGGTTGTTTTCAGCGGTACTTCAGACGCAGTAACTAACTAGTTAATTAACAAGCAGTGTAGCAGTCCATTTGCCGTAACAACCGCGAGGCTCTGGCTCCAGATTAAGGCAAGAGGACCAAGCCTGCTGCCGTACGTGGCTGTCTGATACTCTTAAAGATCTCTGCTTAAAAAGCTCTCTCTTAAAGATACTCTGCTTAAAGAACGCCCGTGGGGAAAGCTCCAGCCCGGGCTACCAGCTGTAGTGCTCCAAAATGCAGTTGGTTCTGGATCAAACAGGAGAAATCAGGGACAATATTTAATTTTACCAGAAGCAAATAAAACCTCCCAGTGTGAGGACTTGGAGAGACAGCGGTGCCACTGCTCTGCACTGGTTACAATCCCCGTTCCTGAAGTCATGAATCCTTTCTCAAAGGAGTCAAAGATTAATTTATGTAGATTAATAAATATCTATTAGAAACTTGGAAGAATGTTCTTTATTTTGCTCGCTTGTTAAAGCAGCTTTTAATTGTGATTACATCAGCAGGGTGATTAAGTTGCAGGCTCTGCATCCATGGAACTTCATAAAACCAGAATATTGATAACAGTTGTCTTAGATTCTTCCATAAAGTAACTGTATCAATCCAGAAATGTTTTCTTTTCCAAAGCGGGTAAAGAAAGGCTATGTTGGATATTGGATATATTTATATATATCTCAATATTGGATATGGAGAGCATTTGTCCTACTCGTGAAACATAAGGAGATGAACAGCAGATGCAATTTGTCACTTGGATGAATAAAAAGATTTGGGCATTATCACAATTAAGACAGGAGTGCAGGTTTATAGACCAGCCGATCCAGCTGTCCCTCGGGAGACAGCATCGTATTTTACAGTCTCTAAGAAGGTTTCAGTAGCTTGCTGTGACAGAGAGCAGTGGTTATGTTTGGCATCTGATGGAAAAAGAAATTAAAAAAAAAAAAAAAAAAAAGCTTGAGTCCACCCAAAGCAGAAACTGGTTTTGCCAATAAACAAAATACGTATTTCATAGTGAGCAAGTTTTTGAAATTAGACACGGATATAAAGGAAACTCCTGGTCTGTAACGTCAGGGAGATGTTCTGTGTCATCGTTCTCTCTGCTCGCCTTCCCTTCCTCAGAATGTCGATCACGAGTAGCTTAAGGAGGTGCAAGGAATCGAAGGCCACCGCCTCCCACTAAGGAGCGAGCGGGTGGCCGGGAAGGAGGGACAGCTGGCAGCGCTCCTGTTGTTGCAGTACGTAAGCTGTGAGCTCACTCGTCCAGGACATCCCTTGAGCAAACTGTTCAGGGATGACGTAAAATAATTCTGGTGACAAATGACTCCTTATCTTATTCGTGGAGTCATACGCTCACTGAGGCAGCACCGAGGTGGAACCCAGTTCTACAGTGGTCGGCAAAAGTCAAAAGGGACACATGCAGCCACACCCAGGCAATTCCAGGAAATCCAAAAAATCCAGTGCTCATACTCCAGATTCAGGCTGAATTTATTCAACACCTTGTACTCAACAGGCCATAACACATCTGATCTACAGACACTCAACGTATTTTAAGAACTCTAAAGTAACACACATCTATGTACACACACATATATAAAAAAAAAAAAACAGGGGGAAGGAAATAATTCATGTATCTTTTTCCCCTCCTTGTTTAGGACCACCTGGTGTGCCTGGAATTACTAAAAATGGTCGTGATGGTGCTCAGGGTGAACCCGGTCTGCCAGGGGATCCTGGTACTCCTGGTGCTATTGGGGCTCAGGGAACTCCAGGAATATGCGACACGTCGGCCTGCATGGGAGCTGTTGGAGCATCAACTTCCAAAAAATCATAAAACAACAGTACAAGAAATGGAGAAGTGACTGAGTATTTAAATAACCAGTGCATTGTAAGAAAACAGACAGAATCCTCCTAGTGATAACTGGACAGATGTTCCTTCTGTTGTATTAAGTGGAGACTTTGACACAGTTCTATGACAAAGAAAGCATCAGATGAAAACTTTAATTAAAAGATGCTCTCCTCTCCCCAATTATATATTTCCAGAACTTTTACTGCTAAGCAACCTCACCTTCCCCTTTCTCCCTTTGTTCGAGAGACCTGCAAGAGGAAGCATGGTTCCTTTTTACCATCACCCCCCCAACCACGTACTAAAGACCATGACTTTTCTGTATAAACCTTTGAGCCTTGTCCATCGAATCCCTTGGTGCTGCTCCCACTGACTGCAGTTAGTGCCGACCCCGCGTACGATACCCGTTGTTAAGGCATTCAGGCACCTAACTGCTATTTACAGCAGTGGAAATTAGGCATTTAAATATCCCATATTTTAATATCCAAAGATTCTGGCCTAATAAAGACAGTAGCTTACGTGTACGCTGTCAGTTACCAATTTTCAGATTGCACCTCAAATACTTGCCAAGACTCGTAAAGAGTAATCCTCTCGCGATCAAATTCTGCAAAAGGTATAATGTATATATTTTAATTTACAGGGGAGAATTTTTGTATATTTCCATATGATAGTAAAGGAAATGGAGTAACAGCATTTTCATGACCTCTACTTAAGCTATTTGCACAGTAATTGTGAATGAGACCGCAAAGGAGAAAGGATGCCAAAAACACCTGTATGAACTGTTGTAAAAATAAAAGGAGATTTTTTTTAACCTTTTCTCTGTGATGTTGTAAGTGTCATTATATACATCAAATGAACTCAGCTGATCTCCATTTTCCAGAAGTGGTTTTACTAGGATTGTTTGGAAATAAATTACTGCAAAATTGTCCATATCCGTGATTTTAAACAGTATTTATTTTGGGAGACCTTTTTGTACTTTAAAACCTGCTAGCATCATCTATTTTAAAAAACTAATAAAACCACACTCAGCTCATGCCCTATATGTTAAAGCTTACGAACAAAGGAATCGTATTAATCTTTAAATATGAAAATAGTTTCTGCATTTAAATAATCTACTGTTTATAATACGCCTCTCAGACTAAAGTAACAACACAAGAAACTGTTGGACAGTTGTGTGATAAGACTTTAAAAATAGTACTGCATTTAAAAAAAAAGTTAACACCAATGCCTTACCCTTCAGGGCCAAGTAGGTTAAAATATGTACGGCAAATGTGAACTTCGTAATATCAGCACAGCTCAGAAACTGCACTGACTCAATTCACCAATACAGCCTTTAAATTTTTAATGGAAAAAATGGGCGTTATAATATGGTAACTTTAATTTCTTTTTATACTTGAAGAGCACATTTGCATCTAGTCATTAAAATAACAGGACAGATTGATGTGCTACAACTATTCCTAACTGTACTGGATCATCTTTAAAAAAACCAAACCAAAACAAACACAACAACAACAACAAAAAAAAGCAGAACAGAACCACAGACAGAAAAAGAACACTTTTTTGTATAACTAAAGGGGAAAAAATACTTAGCTGTCGTGACATTTTCTTCTAGCTTCTGGTCCCAAAGCTTCTTTAACAGAGCAATTTCTATTGCTGATAGTTAACTGTCATTTCCCTTTTGAATAAAGAATGTTTTCTTTAAAGCTCTATTTATGTATTTTTTACAAGTTATATTTTACAATTCATATTCAGCATGTAAATGGAGAAAATAAAATAGAGTTTGGGCCACGTTAGTTAGCCACACTTGTCATACGATTCAAGGCGGTCAGTTCAGACTACTTGGTCTCCATAGCCATGCGTGTTTTCCTGCACTGGACACGTTACAAATGAGTCTGATCTTGCTATTTTTAGTCTCCTGCCTGTTTTACCACAGAACACAGTCTCAAATTCCTAAAAAAATCAAAATACAAACAATAAATAACAATTATGTTTAATGTAGGTATTTACTTGAGATGTATGGTTTATGTTTCCCTAGTCTCTTGGAAAAAGAACACCTTCATGAGAAGCGCTGAGGAGCCATACTGGTATCTTGACAAGCAGCCTCTCCTGTACACACTCCCCTACTCGCCTACGGTGAGGAGCCATACTGGTATCTTGACAAGCAGCCTTTCCTGTACACACTCCCCTACGATACTTCGCAGAGCCAGAACTACTCTGGGGCTGCAACTACTGGCCTGGTTACGTGGGTGCTGCTTACAGGGCTTATAAACCTTTACTACTCTCACCCGCTTTGAGGTAGCGTGGGCATGGAGCTGTGTGTCCCATCACCTCGCTACCAGTTCCTGAAAGCTAGCTAGATGGCAACTCCATGAACCAAGCAGAAAACAGAGAAAATTAAGGAGGGGACGGCAGGGAGGAGTGATTGAAGAGGACCTCAGTTCTATGCTGTTGTCCAGATAGATAGTATCATGCTCTGAACCTCCCCCCCCAAAGAAAATCCCCAAAACATTTTAAAATCTGATTTGAAAACCCTCAGGACAGCCTATGATTTCACACTACTGAACTGAAACTGTTGCGAGGACAGCTATTTAAAAAAAAGCATTTTTAAAAGGAAGTTTCAGTGATACAGTGGTCCTTCACAAAGAAGCATTCCATATACTTTTAGCTATGAGAGCTTTAAAACATTTCATATTTTTATCAAGAACAAAAATGAAATTAGATGTAAAACCTGTTTCAGAGAATCACCATGCCTTTCCTGAATGTACTTCAGAAACGCAGTTGTCCATTGTAAAGTTGTTGCCTTATCAGTATCAACAGTACAGAATGGAACCAGAAGATTCAGCTCATCACAACAAATCCGGATTCTGCGCCTACAGGCAAATACAAAAGGTTATCAGGCAAGGGGTGAGAAGGAAGGAAAAAAGTTTTAAAAAAAGGACTACTCACATGCGCCACAAGCCGTGGACTTTGGGGACTTTGCTACAAACTTTGTCTATTAGTCATGTTACAGGCAAGTGACCTTACCTTTGCAGAATTGCTTAAACGTTTTGAAATCTTTTTGTTTGCTTATAGAGTAAAAAAAAGACGACCACAGCGAAACATACATATTTTATCCCCTAAGAAACACCAAACCCTCACCACCCGCATTGCTTTTGCTTGTAGGCAAAACAAAATGTGTCAAATTTACATTTTACTCTGGATAATGACAGGAACCTACAGTATCAGTATTTTAGGCTTCAAAAACTTTGCCTTGCCACCCCTCACAGGAATCACCTTCTGTCTCTCTCCATGCGGTTATGCCTTTCTCTTCGCTGAGCGATTCCGTCCTGCATACCGCTTTGCACCTGCACGCTTGAATTGGACTGTGCTGACTGCCAAGGGCCCTGGGCAGATGCGGTACTCTGGCTCTCGTCACGAGTATTTTGAATTTCACTAAGAGGTTTGCGATCTACGTTTGTATCGGATGGGCTTGCTCGGCTTCTTCTGTTTATCACTTGCTTGCATAAGGTGTCTTCTTGGAAAAACAAAGAGGAAGAGAAGAACCTATTTATCACCCTCCCACTAATCACTGAAAATTAAGATCATGGGAATTTTTTTTTGTCGCTTCATTTGTGCAGAATAATCTTTGAAGCTTTATTACCAACCTAGGTTGACTCTTACAGCAACATGTGTCCTTCAGAAACTCTAAGGCACTGCTTGCTGTTTCAAAATCCACCTAGCTTTTATTTTCTCAGAGAACCCCTTGAGATCACGCCTGCCCTTGATTAGCATTTGAGGCAGTCCTTTAAATGTTCTTCAGTTTGATACCGGCTGGATCTGCTGTATCAACTTTGGGGTCAAAAAGTGGAGAAAGAAACCCGTTGCTTACTCTAGGTCCAGAATTTCAAAGGTACTTTGCAACCTTGGGTTTTGTCATTTCAAGCTACAAGTGCTACACAATTTTGAAAGTCCAGCTAAAATCATAGGTGTTGAATTTTTTTGAGAAACCCAGTCCCGTATTGCCTATAGCACATCTCAGACATAAGCCCCACACCTCAGATGATTCACTAAAATCATATTCATACTAAAACCCACACAAATTCAGAAAAAAATATAGATTTGAAGGCCAAGAATTAAAAGAAGATAAATGGTTTACCTCCAACTTTAATCCAAACTTCCTCAGGCAAAGCCTTATTCATAGCACCTACTGTCTGTTTTGTGGATTCAATTTCCTGATAGCAGAAAGAGAATGTCTTGGGTATCCCAAGGTCTTGATGTTTGGCAGCTTCCAAAAGAGTGCAAGACGTCCCAGAGGTCTGTGAAAACCAAAAAGGCAGTACTTAGAGAACTATATACATAAAAAAAGAGACTATTTTGATATTGTCATGTTAACTCTTTTAGTTTTAGCCCCATGATCCAACGTGTTGTATCAGAACAGATCCCAATTACTTCTGCACACCACAACCGTAGGATTTTAAGACTGCTGAATTTTTGGGGGGATACCTCTGACACTTCTGAGTGCTGTGCTATCGCTCTTGCTTCAGAGATTACTGTGAGTTGAGGGAAAAAAAATAATCATTTTCATCAAAATTAATTAGAAAAAAAAAAGGAACCACAGAAAATGGTACTAAGGGTCCCCTCCTTGTCTTGCCTAGATGAAGCAGATGATACACTGATAAGAAAAGAAGTCCTTCCAGTAAGAAATCTAATGGCCTATTGATCATTACCTGGATGCATGCTACTACAAATGACATAACTGCCACACAATTAGTATGTGTGGCAAATTACTTTTGATGCTCTTAAAGCTTAACGTAAGAATAAATAAACTGTATTACAGATCATTCTGCTCATCCCTATTCAAACCAAGTCACACTTTTAAGGCAAACCTTTAGAATTACATTACACCCAAGAGGTTAACATCATTAGCATTTGAAATTAGCAGAGTAGAACCAGCGGTGAGGACGTTACCTACCTGTGCTTGCGAAGGATTGGCACTTCCAGCAGTAGAACAAGCGTTCATGGTAAATAACGGGTATGTGAACTGTAAAGAAGGCGCGGCAGGTGCAGTCTTATTTTTCCCTAATGCAGCACACTTGTTTTCTTGCTGATGAAGAGGAACACTTATCAGTTCTGACGGCTGTCGAATCAATGTTACTAAACTTAAAAAAAAAACAAACAAACAAACAACAAAAAAAACAACAACACAGAGAACATACCAGACTGACTACCTGAAAACGAGTGCAGAAAAATTTACAGCTACACATACTGCTAGTAACTACCACCAAGAAACCACTTCCCTTTACAGTAAACAGAAATCATTGTTATTGCCGTATTGCCTACTTCAGGGATGTATTTTATTCTGCGCAGTAACAATTCTGCTTTGTGACTCGGTAAAATGTTTGATCAGCACACTAATCGTTACAGGGCCAGACTGTAAAACAGTATTTTTTTGCTCAAAGTTTTCCCCATAGTCAGGCTTCCACATTATAACATTAATCGACTGCTTTTAATATTTTATTCTGCTCAAAAAAATCTACTTTGCTTTTCACAAGTTGCATATTAAAACTAGGTAATGTTCTTCTCTCACCTTTATTTACATTACATGTTGTTGTCAAGAATAAAGTTGTAAATTAATTTTGGAGCTACATTCTGTACCATTTATGCAACACACAGAGGGGCCTAACCTGAGGTCAGTGGAGTTGCAGCCACCTTTGACTGGCACCATTTAGAAAAGCCCAGCCCATCATTCTCATGCATTAAAAAACAAGTGCTGTTCTTAGGTTTCGTGGTATAAAATCAGTTTTGAAGTATATTTTGATACACAATTTAACGACATAAACTGAAATTAATTGCAACACACTTGTTAAGAGTTACTGCAGATTCTTGGGGTT